TGCAAATAGTTCTTAATAGCGCTTCCTTACAGGTATCTCCAGGCTGTGGAGAAAAAAAAGAGTTTCAGTGGATAAACATTGTTATTTCCCCAGTTCTGTGATTCTTAGAAGGAAATGATGTTATGGAAAGTATCTCTTTTTTGTCACACGTATAGAAGAGAGGTACTAAAGAACAACAGTCAGCTCTGCAGAGAAGTTTTCATTAGACAGAATTAGACAGAAGAATCACTGATGCATTTTGGACACAATTGCATAAATTTTAGTTCTTAGGTCAACAGAAAAAAAATGCAAATGAAGATTAAGTGACAAATAGGATGTTTCTGTTGCTGCTGCTGTTCCTTTAGTTCATGTAAAGGACATTTCCAACCCCCCAGTAGTGACTAAAGTATCTGAAATGAACTCTGCTATTTCAAGTCACTTGCTGTCAGTATTTACAAAGCAGTGAGTTATCGTGAGTGACAGAGAAATCCAAAGACTTTAAATAGAACTGGTAAAGTCTGAAACCTATGGGTTCAACAGATTACAGGAGACAACATTATGCAATGTACATCATTATTACATGATTCTTACCATGCACTCAGATTTTCAGTACTGGATGGCTAAATGTTTTACACCCATGTTTTTTGTTGTAAATCAGTTATAGTACAGCATCTTCTAGAATACAGACAGCTGCAGATAGTTTTTGCCCTTAGAACTCACAGCATCTCTGAACATGTGGAAAAACACAGCACCCCCAGCAAGTCCTTGGTGGGAGGTTGGGGTTCATTATTCTGGCCAGCTACTGTGTCTCACTAAACCATTCTTTTTCCCTCAGAAAGGCCTGTCTTGGGAGACAAGTGGTATGACAAATCAGGTCAGTGCATGCTTGGGTCAAACAGAAAGAAGCTCTTCTCCAAAATTCAACAGCTCCTGGTTTTGGGATCAGGTACCCCCAGACTTCTCCTGCACAGAGCTCTATTTCCAGCCGTAGTGCTATTTACCAACATTACTCTCAACCCCCTTTATTTAATATACAGTTTCATATCTGCACATGGGCTTCTGTTCGCACACATTGATAGCTAAGAAGGTTCTTAAGCCCATTCTGCTGTACAAATAGCAAGATGTCTGTCTGTGTTCTGTTGTGAGGCAATGAGGCGGAATCACACAACAAAAACATCCTTATTCTTCATTGCAGCCTTTGTACGAGCATTTCCAAGCTCACGTGCCTCCAGCCTTGTTCCACTTGATTCACAGTTCTCAGTGCTAGTCAGTTCTCCAGGCTCACCTGTGGTGCTCTGAGACAGCAGCTTAGCTCCTTATGTCTTCCAAGCTCCCAGCTCTGACTCCTCTTGGGACTACAACTCATGCTGACACCAGTGACTGTATAGTAAGCATGGTCAGGCGGTCCATCCAGCTTAACTGATGGCTTTTGAATCCATCACCAGAATGTATGGACAAATATGGGGATGGACAGGAAACATGAACCACAACTGGCCCAAATTTAACATTTGTGAGCTGCAATGAGAGCACATTCCCTACGATGATATAGCTTTTGCAAAAAGAAAAAAAGAAAAAAAGAAAAAAGAACAAAAAAGAAAAAAGAAAAGAAGAAAAAAAGAAAAAAGAAAAAAAGAAAAAAAAAAGAAAAAAAAAAGAAAAAAGAAAAGAAGAAAAAAAGAAAAAAGAAAAAAAGAAAAAAAATGTATCCCACAAGATTTCAAATTACTTATGTCACTATTTGAAACTGTGAGTCAGCCCAAGCTGTAGAAACATGGCACTTGGAATTAAGCTGACTAAAGCTGCTGGGAAACTGCCATTTGAATATACTTCTCTGAGAACTGCCATCCTGACAGCTTCTTCCCTTCTCTTAAAATAAATGTATAGTAAATTTGAACTTCTTGGTAGGGGTGAGGTGGCTTTTTTGGTGACTTGTAACAGCAAGAAATCTAATTTGTACATAGTAAGGGCTAATTCGAGAGTAAAATAAATATTAAATCCTAAAACAAAAGAGAATTGGTTTATGTAGGGACAGAGAAGAGATTGGATATCCAGAGGAATGGTACTTTCCACAAAATTTAATAGACTTTCCATACTACAGTGAGTCTACAGCTAGTCACTAAACATGTGACCATTCATGATCTGAAAAAGGGAAGAGGTCAGTATATCAAATATATTAAATGCAAGTAAGAAGCTCCCAGACAGCCCATCATTTAGATCTGTACATTTACAAACTGCAAACATTGGTCCAAAGAGATGCTGTGAACTTCTCAGTTTTCTAATACGATAGTGGAGGTGTTAATTTGGATTCAACCATGCACATCAAATACTCAACGTAATTAAAAAGATAGTGTGGACACACATACCTATTAGCTTGCAAAAGATTATGCAGATCTGCCACAGTATGTATTTCATTTTTTGCCTCAAAATTCAATATGCAGGCATTTCTCCTCTTTAAACTCCTTCAGTTGTTTAAACAAGACTTCTGGCCTAAAAATAATGCTTCCAATTTTTTAAAAGGAGTATTTAGTTCCAGATTTGGAGTTTGTTGGCCTGTAGTGAGAGAAGTTGCTGGTCTGTTAAGCTTTGGAACAAGACACATAGCAAACACTAGCTCTGTTCAAAAAAGGAAAAAAAAAATCTAGGGTTGAGCTGGCTTTTAATCCTTTTTGCTGTTGTTGGTAGTCTAGAACAGCAATATTCAGGTAACAGGAACCCTCTGCCCTCAAACCCAGCTTTTAGGCGTGGTCAGTCTATCTTAACGTGATCTCATGCTTCCAGTTTTCCTTCAGGTTAAGCTGAATTACTTTTTACATCAGATGGACACACAGAGAGAAAAGCATTCTTTCTACTGAGCCCCTACATATTCCCTGCTACATATACCCCTTCCCTTGACAACAAAATTACTTCAGGCCATGCTATTGTTACACGTATTTTAGGCATCTACCTGCAGATCAATTTTCTCTTCTGTGTGGTCAGATCAGGACTGTTTACAGTGGTTTACTTTCTTCTAAACTGATGACTGAGGTTGATTATTTTTATCAGACCAGATAAAAACTCAGTCTTTGAAGACACTTGTGGAAAGCTATGGAGGCATTTCCAGGCCACTGTCAGTAGCATGGGGACTCTTCTCAGTAAGCTGGAAGTAGAAAAGTGGCCCTGCACTATGACATCAGTACTTCTTCTCATATCCACTACAGCGGTGTTACATCTAATAATCAGCCTAAATAAGCTCCTTGAAAGTTATAACAACTCACCTTGTGATGAGGCTTTCAGCTTAATAAGAAAGTTTAAGTTCTCCCTTCCCCACACACTAGTTGCCCTGTCCTAAATTAGGTGGCCTATAATACTAGCAGTAAGTAACTTTTCTTTTCCTTACCTCTTTTTCCTTTTTTTTTTTTTAATTTACAATATGTAAATATTCAGCTAGCTTCAGAATCACTGGTCTCTGAGTTTTACTTTTTTTTTTACCTGGTGAGTAAAATGCATTCCAACATCTACACAAGAAAATGCATTTAGTTGCAGCTTGAGCTACAAATACAAAACTATGGTACAAAAATACACAACCTAAAAGCAAACCCACATTAATACTGTGCATGCATCTAATACCAGGAGGCCTGAATTGCATCAAGTGGCTCTGAGGATTATAAGTATGTAAACACAATACAGTTTATCTTGGATGCAGAACAGAAAACAGGAAACAATACAACCTGCCAACTCATCTGGAGTTATTAATTTCAGGAGAAAATCTGTCCTGTGGTGATTTACTCATTACCGTATTTCAGTAGATTTCTAATGTAAACGCCAATGACTTTGGAGTTGAGTTTTATTGTATTGTGTAACAGACTCCAGTACGGGCAGCTTATTAACTATCTACCTTAATTATCACAGCACAAACTTGCATTTTTGCATGGACTGCAGGAACTGTCCCACAGCCCAAGGCTGGGTAAAAGGGATCCACGGGCATGGGAACTCCCAAACCCCTACGCTGCACCACTTCAAACAAAATACCAACTAAAACGGTCGGATGAGCACTTAACGACCAGAAGTTCGTAGGGTTTTTTAATAAAAAAACGCTACTAGAATTTGAATCTCCACCTCCAGGGGCACCAGCAACAGGAGCTGGTTATCCACGCCCGGCGAGGCGCTGGGGGAGCCAGCCCTTGGCAGAGATCCCGCTCTCTCTCGGCGGCAACCCCCGTGCGGCGGAGGGCGGGGGTGAGGGCAGGGGCGAGGGTAGGGGTAAGAACAGGAGCAGCGTATCCCCGCTCCGCGTTCCCCGTTCCCGGCGGGATCCGGGAATGCTCCCGGGCCGAGCCCACAGCGCCCCCTGGCGGCCGCGCCGCACACAGAGCGCGGCCCCCCTCGGAGCCTCCCCATTGGAGGGCGCTCCGCGCGTCCCCATTGGGCGAGCCGCGGGAAGGGGCGGTGCTGCCTCCTCCCACGTGGCGCGAGAGGCGCGCACCGCTTCCCGCCGGCGCCTCTCTGGTGCCCCCTGGCGGGCGGCGGCCGCGCGGGCCGGCCATGGAGGGGAGCGGCGGGGGGGACCCGACCCCCACCCCGGCCCCGGCCCCGGGAGAGGAGGAGGAGGAGGAGGAGGGCGAGGGCTGCGAGGGGCTTTGGGAGCTGCCGGTGGAGCGCTGCGAGAGGCGGCCCGAGTGCGGGCGCTGCAGGTGACGCGGGCGCGGGGCCGCGCCGAGGCCCCGGGCGGGGGGGGGTCGGTGCCGCGGTGGGGACACCCGCGCCGAGCGGGTCGGTGTCACAGGGAGCTCGCCCGGCCTGCAGCGCCTGTGGCATCGCACAGTCACAGACGGGCCACGCCGGGGGTCACCAGGGGGGGCATGCCGTCCCACCTCCCTGCCCCAGCAGGGTCCTCCCGGACCACGTGGCACGGGATTGTCTCCAAATGGCCCTTGGACATCCCCAGTGAGGGAGACTTCACTGCTTCTCTGGGAAGTCTGTTCCAGTGGAGAGTAAAGAAGTTCTTTCTCACGTTCAGGTGGAACTGCCTGTGCATCAGTTTTTGCCGCTTGTCCTGAAAGCACGTGCACTCGTCGTGTAGAGTAAAATCCTGACATGAAGTAACTTTGTCATGGAGGGAATGCCTCAGTGTGACAGGGAATATCTAGAGGCCCGGCAGGGAGTGCTACACCTTTTCTCTGTGTGCACACAGCTGAAGAGCAAAAGGTGAGGTGGGAGGGGGAAGGTGTGTCGCCCCAGTGTCAGGCAGAGACTTCAGCAGGGCTGGGCAGTCCTTGGTGCTTTGAGAAACTAGCTTTACAGGTAATTTTGAAACCCATTCAAGCACCCGGGCACGGGGGGATTAATACAACTTATTGTGAACTCAGGTATCTTTTTAAAGCAGACAATGACTTCTGGTGTTATAGAAATATCTCGTAACCTGATTTTGTGGTTTTGTACATATGTTCTTTATTAGTAGAGAGAGTGGCAGGATGACAGATGTTCCTGCACTGTCCATAACAGCCAGAGGAAAAGATTCCCACACCTACACTGATTCCTTCTATTTCTGTTCATTGGTGAAACAGTAGAAAGGCATGTAATGTTGCTAAAGTGTCAGAGTTCAGAAGCTTATTTTTGGTAAGATTCCAGTATATAAGTTGTCATTAAAAAAATATGTACCATGCAAGTCAGAATATTTTTAGTGTTCACTGTTGAAAAAAGCAGTCGTAGGCAGTAGTTGAATCCCAAAGAGCAGATGCAGGACACTTGCTTTTTGCTGCCCTTTTTTTTTTTCTTTCTCCAATGACTTGTAGCTCAAAGAACTTCTTGAACTGGATGTGGTACTTTATGCCGCAGTAGACATAGTTTTTTTTTTTGTTTGTTTGTTTGTTTTTTGTTTTGTTTTGTTTTGTTTTGCTTTTTTTTTTAAATGTGAATTTCTCCAGTCCACCTTGAACCCATGTAAAGTTCTTGTATTAGTAACATCTGGCTAGCAGGTGGACACCTCAGGCCTATAAACCCCACGGTGGAGGGAATTACTTTTTGGATTTTTTTTTTTTTTTGTGGCTCCTACCTTCCTCTTCTCCACATAGTATACAAGATGTGAGTGAGCCAGCCAGAGATTTATAGCTTGGGTAATGTGCTTCTGCTTATAGGACTCTTCCTCATGCTGTGGCTGCTTAGCTTCCTTGTAACTTTTTGGTAAAGGACTTTGGGAGGTATTTTGGAAAGCCAGAGTTGATTTTGACAATTACAACACCCTTACGCCTGTATTTATTGACTCTTTCAGAGATCTTAAATAGTTTTGAAATGCAGGACTTCCTTTTGTAAGAGCCACGCCAATTCTTCTCCTATTTTTTGTAAGGGTCCACTAACCATATTTTTAATTGTAGCTTCTGTTCACATTAACAGTTTTATTTGTTGAAGATTTTCCTTCTTGCCATTTCTAGTCCACACATGCCAAGGAACCGCTGATTGAGAGTTAACCCACTGTTATTCTTGACTGAGATGTTTAACCTTGAGCTTTTTAAAATGCCAATAGTGTAATGCTCATTACTGTTGTTTTTTTTTTTTTTTTTTTTGTCATTGTGTTTCACAACCTGTATGCTTGTTCCTTCAATTTTGGACAGATTCTCTGATCAGTCACCTTCAGAAATGGTTTCTAGAACAGACATCTATCTATTTTCTTTCATGGTAAACCTGATGGCAAGTGTTTACTTAGCTCCTCATTACCATGTAGTAGTAAAACACTGGCTTCCTGAAGAGCTATGACTGTTTTACACCTACTATGAAGAGCATGGGTACACTGAGCACGGACACTGAAAGAAATGTAGGGGTGGAAAAACCGAGGAGGATGAAAAGACTGCAGAGTTGTTACTTTTTTTAAGAAAAAAAATAAAGTGGCATTTTTTAATTGAAGTTTTGCTGGAGGTGTCTGTGCACACAATGTATTTTTGTGGTGTATGTTCTTCATCCTCTTCCTCGGGAATAGAACTAAATTGTGCTTTTCAATGAGCATTACATTCTGTCGCATGACTTGGAGTAGAAGTGCACAAGTGCTGAGTAGAGTAAGGCTGTGACTTAGGGTACATTATGGGAAGAAATACTACCCTCAGTGTTATCCTGTTGGTTGGGCCAGGTGTGTTTAACTGACTCCCTGAACTCTAAATTTTTACTGTTAGCACCTTAATGAATGTGATTCGGTTGTCGTGATGATCTGAATTCAGTACAAAAGCATGGAAGAATGGGTTCTCTTAATGGTGGTTCATCATGGAGACTAACTTCAGGTTCTGGCTTTTTTAAAAATATGGCAAGACAGCTAATTGACAGTTTTTAACCAAATACTCAGGCAGTCAAGATATCGATAGAAATGTGGGAGTATAGTACATAAGTTTTCATTTGGATAATGTGAATGACTTGAGCATCCTGAAGGAACAGAATGTTTCTAAGTATTAAGTGTTTGAGACTTTCTATTGCCTATGATGGTTGTGGAGAAAATACAACCATTTGCAATAGCTTACAGTGGAGAATTTGAATGAAATAATGAGATTTTACATTTTGAAGGTGTTTGTGTGCAAGTGCCAGTTTCAAAAAAAAAAAGTATAAAATGACCATGCATGTAGTTGGTGTTTGAGATGGCAAACACCTGATGCAAGTGAAGTATGTGCAGTTGACTTTATGCTGTTTTTTTCTTGAGGCTACAATTTCGTGTATTCTCTCTGCCAAAACCAAAAGGTCGGTGGTGATAAACTCTGAATCGATAATTTCTTAATAGCTGATTTTCATAGCTGACTATTGGCTTTCAGAAGTTGAAGCCTCACACCCAAACATTTAAACAGGAGAATAAGCTTAATATAGTTTCCTAGTTGCTGTTAGCTTGAAAACCAAAATGAGGCATGCCTCACAGCTGAAGTAATGTAGGACAACAATTTGATTTTGTGGTGTGACACTGAGAGCAGTATAATATTTTGAAATAGTATCTTTCTGTGGGTCAGGTTTCACTATTTTCTAGATACACTGTGTGCAGTTAAGGGAAAAAACCTTTTGGTAGTATGAGAGCCTTAAATGCATAATGATTTCTTGCCACATATCTTGACTGTGCATATGCAGAATTTTATGTGTAGTAGGAGAACTTCTGGGAAGTGTTTTCAGGAGAAATTAAGATTTCAAAATGTGAATATAATCTATGATCTCTGGGGATTCCTAGTTCTCTTGTATGCCATTGTTATAAGTTACTAATAAAAACCGGACCGCAAAAGCTGCAGTGAAGAAAGAGTTTATTATAAAAGCAATAAAAAACAAGCAAAAAAGAACGATGCACCGGGCTGTATGCTCTGTGGCAAAAGCAGCAGCCAAATGTCCGTTTCTCTTCCTTTTGTATCATTTCGACTCCGAATTTTGCAATCCCAAGGTCCAGAGAACGCAAGCGTGAATTTCAGTAGCTGTTCGGGCTGAAGTTTCACTGAGTGATCTTGTCTCGGTGAGATGTGTACTGGGATGAGGATTTTACCAGGAAAGTTTATTCTACTCGATTCTTCCTGGAAGAAGGATTCCTTTGTCTCGGAGTCGCTTTCCTGAGTTACTGGAAGGGCTGTTTACCTGCTAGGAATCCTGTTACCTTAAGAAAGGATTGTATATTCTCCTGTCTGTCTTTGGTATTTACTGGTAAACAGAGTCACATGCTTTACTGGAAAAAAATGGGCTTTGTTACCAAAAAAAAGAAATATACCATTAATTGTATTACAGAAAGAAAGAATACAGAAAGTTATGATTACAGAGAAATTACAAGTATTCAATTAATTCATTACACCATCACAAATCCCCACTGGAAGCAGTCCTCTTTGTTTGCAGGACTGAGTTATTTTGTAAAGTTAGGATAACAAAAATTGGTGTTTTCTCAGGGTCTCTTATGATATATGCTGCTGTACTGTATTTGTATTTCAAGGGGAGAGGAAAAGGAGGAGTAACTTTAATCCTTTAATACAAATGTTCCCTTTGTCTATATCTAAAATATTACAGATATTCTGCTGAATCTGGACACTGTGTGAGGGCTCTTGATAGCATTGGTAAATTGATAGTGACATGAGATGACAAAGTGCTGCTTCATGCTTTGAGGAAAAATGTAGTGTTCTTATGTGCCACATATTTGTTAATAATTCTGTTAAATCATATAAAGATTGAGTCTTAAGCAGTGTTGGCTTTTTTTAACACAATAAATTTATGCAGTTGCTTTATAGCACACTGGTATGGTATTTAGGTGCAAATGTGAATTTTAAATATTAATTAGCATGCATTAGCAGTGCCTGGTGGAAGAAAATAGCTTCATAGTCTCTGATTTCTTTTACCTTCTTAAAAATGAGCTTTAAGGGCATTTATTTTCACTTGCAGATTTTCAGTCCCTGAAAGTATTGATTTTTAATCAATAAATAAACTTCTTATGTAATTAAAACTGTATTTCCCTATGGGTCCTTGACTTGTAAGAGGTGACTTGTAGTTCTATAGGATATTTTTTAAAAGGTTTCATGCATTTCCTATTCTGTTTGCATTGAAAATAAGGAAAAAATTGCACAAGGTTAGGTGACAGGCATCAGTTGTGTGAGTTTTATTATTCCAGGTTCTTAAATGGTGTATCAAATACAAATGTTTTAAAATGTTATTAGCACTTTTAAAGACTCCTAAATCAGAGCAATATTTTTTCTGAATTTACTCATTTCCAGTATAGTTAAATGCATAGAGTGGGTTTACAACTAATTGTGTCCGAGAACCTGCATGTCAAACCTACATGTTTTACATGGATAAATAAGGTGATTTTGCAGAGTTTAGAAGGAGGTAAATTTGTGCATCATCAGGAGACAGAAAGTATCAGGCAGAACAGATGAAACAATTCACATCTTAATTTGGCAACAGCTAAAATCAAGGTTGTGCCAGTAATTATTTTCCTTCATTGGGAGAGGTGGGTTCACTGTGTGACTGGAAGGAATCTTGCAGGATTTCAGGATGGAGTGACTATCTCATAATTTGATATTAAGTGGTTCCGTAGGGTATATTGGTGCCTGGGGTTGTTCTTCCTTCTATGCAGGACTTTGCTGAAATTTCATGAAGTTCACTCCAGCCTGTCAAGGTCTGTCCTGCCAGATGCCAATATTCTTTGGTAAGGTTCTTGTGGAAGTTCCACTTGGGGAAAGACTGAAAGTTTAATAGGAGGTATCTACTGTTACATGAATTTT